TATATATATATATATAATTATTTTAAAAAAATAGGATTCCATCGCTAAGAGTTCTCATGTTTCAAAAACAGAAACTAAAAACTTCAATTTAGCTTGTGTTTTTGAAACATGAGAACTCTTATGTAGCGATGGAATTATATTTTTTAAAGAATAATTATAATATAGGCTCTACTTGTGTATCGAGCACTATTTTTTAAAAAATTTAAAGAACTTCGGATTATTAACCTAACAGTTCTTTCCTATTTTTCTATATATTCGCAAACACACACACACACACACACACACACACACACACACACACACACACACACATATATATATATATATATATATATATATATATATGAGTCAGTTGTGTGACATGCGTGATACACGCTTAGGCGATCATGTATCTTTCAATACATGGCTGACGAGGCAGAATTTTTTCCCGGAACACATTGCCATTTCTTTCTGCAGTAGACCAGTTGCCATCCAAGGTTATAGAACCCTGTCTATCCTGTTATTTACCCATAGCTGGGGGAGGGGGAAAGAAGGGGATGCATACCTTACCCAAGGGTATTAGCATCTAAGTGAATGTAATGGATTCGTCTGGAATTCGAACTCGGCTCTCCGATTTCTCACTCCGGTATATATGATCTTAAAAAAAAAATGTGCTTATTTTATTCATAAAACAAAGAATACAAAAGCATCACAGTGATTAAAACTTTAAGTAACTTTCGGCTGAAACATCTTCAAAATAAATATCTTCGGCAAGTAAAACTAAGTGGTTGAAAACAAAAATTATTTTCAACGACTGGTGTTAAAATATTCCAAAACTAGGGGAGGGAACAAAAAACAAACAAACAAACAAAAAAAAAACACCATTTTCCTAGTTAAACATTGGATTGGAGACCGGCTCCCCGAATCAGGCCAACTTGTGCGTTAATTCCCTCTGCCTACACAGGGCAGAACATTGTCTATTAATAAAAACCGACTCCAAGATGTCCAAGTGGAGTCTGGTCCGTGCTCTGTGCAAATCAGAGAAGAACTCAAGAGAAAAGTCCGTCCTACAGAATTCAATAAATGCTCGTCGATTGCAGGGGGCATTAGCCTGTGAACACCCGGATGCTACAGGCTCATGTCTACGTACTTGACCCGGAACATGCTGGGCGATCCTAACCTCTAACCGCTGGGTAGACTTTTCCACATAGTCGATCTCACATCGACATTTATACTGATACACACTGATGGGCAGGCAAGACATCCTTGCGACCGGAGCAACCACTTAGTTTTATTTGCCGAGAAACCACTTAGTTTTAATGGCTGACGACATTATTTATTATGAAGATGTGTCAGCCGAAAGGTACCTAAAATTTTAATCTCTGTATTACTTTTGTATTCTTTTTTTATGACTATAATCTGTTTATATATATATATATATATATATATATATATATATATATATATATATATCTTTCTTTTCATGTACATTTCATTGAATACGACAGACGAGGTGCTTTTATTTAGTTTTTATACAATTTCTCATGCGATCTAATCATTTTTTTTTCTTTTCGGATGATAAATTATATAAAAACTGTCCGAATGTTCTTTTTATCCGAGCGTTTTCGGCTATATATTTAGCCATTTTCAAGGATTAAATATTTTAATAAGAAATAATTTGTTGTATGTATGTTTTATAAAATGATTTCATTTTCCCTAAACACGGTCAATATATTGTGTCCATGTTCAAAGTTAATATTATTAAGTGTTGTTTTTTTATGTTTTTATTAATATATATTTAATTTTTATTATGATTATAATAAAAACATGCAGAAATCGCTACACAAAAGCTTTCATGTTTCAATACTACTTCTTCAGGCCATGGTGATTAAATGATTTTTACGAAAATTTAAAAACAAAGTTGAAAGGTGGTTGGGGAACATAAGGTCAGAATTAAAAATAAACTTGTGAGATATGATTTGATTAACCAATTAAATTAAATTAAATTAAATTATCAAGCGTTGTTAGGTAACAATTTTGTCTAAGATCGCTTGATAATGGAACATTATCCGAAACAGAAATTTCCGCGTCGCGATTTAAAATATTTTTTTGAATAAAAATATTATTAAGATATTATGCTCTACGCTGTATCGAGCAACTTTTTTAAAAAAGTAAATGTTAAAGAATATATATATATATATATATATATATATATATATATATATATATATATATTAAGTTAAAATCACTACAAAATATAGCCATTGTGTTTCAACACTTCTGATGTCTTGTCAAGTGATGATGTTGAATGTAGAATAAAACTCTTTATTCTGCAATCAACCCTATCACTTTAGAAGACACCAGAAGTATTGAAACAAAATGGCTGTTCTTAGTGATGTTTTAACATGTTTACGTTATAATTTTTTAATAAATAATATTTGCTCTACTCTGTATCGAGCACTCTTTTAAGAATAGTGCTTTTGTTTATTTGTAATTTTATTCCGTCTACACCAATCCTATACTTGGATATATATATATATATATATATATATATATATATATATATATATATATATATATATAGATATATATATAGATAGATAGATATTATTATCCTAATAGTAGTACTCGGTTGGTAAAAAAAACTCGGATAGCATAACTTGCAAGTATATCAAAAC